CACACACACACACACACACACACACACACACACACACACACACACACACACACACACACACACACACACACACACACACACACACAAGTAATGGCACTGGATAAATAATGTAGCCTAATGCTACTGTAAGAGGCAGCAGCAGCACATGAAGTACCAGTCTGTCTCCGACACTCCTTAACCCTGTGTGCGCACACACACACATACACACAGTATAAAACAACTCTGAATGGATGGATGGCACATGAGTCATAAATCAGCAAACCATGTCTCTGTCTGTCTCGTCTTTTTATATTGATGAGAGTCTCTAGTTTTAGCCACAATTTGTGATAAACAGCATCTACCTGCAGCACATTTTTACCGATTCAAACTGCGAGCCTCACCTTATTTTTAGTCGGTATTCTTATGCGGGAAAGGAAGCCGGTGAAGTTCCCCCGTGTGAACCTTATGAGTCATCAACTAGGCCAAAAACAGTATAATAGACGGTAAACTAAGATTCAGGAAGTGGTGTCTATGCAGTTTCATATCGCCACATGTTACACAACATCGTTTACCAAGCTTCCATTTTTATCTACTATTTTTTGTAAGAAATTGTTTTAACCATAAACTCTAATCCAGATATATTCCAGCTATACAGTATGCAAACAATCATATGTGACTTGACAATGTAGATTCTTTAAACAGAGACTCCTCTGGTCCAGACTAAAATATCTCAACTATTTGATGTATTGCTACAAAATACAGACAGTCATGCTCCCACCAGAATAAATTGTAATAAATGTGTTTATTACCCAACTTCTCTATGCCATCCATCATTGATTGAAATTGCATTATGTCCACTACTTTGGTTTATGCCCAAATGCCTATAAAGCTGACTACAGTCATCTTTAGCTGTACTGCTAATTAACAAATGTTGACATGCTAACACGCTAAACTAAGATGGTGATCATAGCAAACATACATTAAACAAAAACGGCATGTTAGCATTATCATTTTGAGCATGTTGTATTTAAATCAAAGCACCACTGTACAGCCTCACAGAGCCACTAGGGTGGGTGAAGAGATTTCTTTTTTTATGTTTTTTCTGCAACATTTTACTGTTGGTATACAACTTGTAGAATATTCCACAATCAGGACTGTAGGAGGGGTAATCTGATTACCAGGTACTGTACTGTGATTATCACTATGGATGTGCGGTCAGCTACAATGAGACACTAGAAGATTCCACTACTGTTTTTTATCCAAACACGAACATGTATTATCACCATACTCTACATTTAATACATAGGGAGCAAATATCTTGCCAGCCTATAACTGACAAGAATTAACACAATGTACAATCATTCTGACTTAACATAACTCAAGCATCAAGGTACCGCAAACACAAATAGGCATAAAAGCAAGGAAACTCACATTCTCAATCCGACAAACAAGTGTTTGGTTCTGCTGCAGGTAGTGCAAAGGTCTCACACCTGAACTCAATCCTGTGTATATATAGGCTGTGATCAAGCCGCGCTCCTCCCACTTCATGCTCCTCCTCAGACAGCTCCCCCTGCAGACCTGCTCTTCACAACACCACCATGGTGTATGTACTGCAGCCATTCAACTCATTTTATGAGGGAATAAAATCTTTCTTTATAACTGATTGGATACTAAACATATCCAATTTAATGTTCATATTTCCATAGAATTGAAGGCATGGTCTTCATTGTTTAGAATTCAGGCCCATGCCTCAACGTTTAATTTTGTACACAATTCACACGTGAATTTTACAAGCTGTGATGATAAAAAACATCGAGCCAGGTGTGTGGCTCGCAAATATAGCAACTGAATTAAATTAAACAAATTGATTTAGCAAGGAGCCCTGTTGACCAGCTTTGTCTCAGTGGAATTTACCAGGTTTTAAATCCCACCAATGATATTGTAAACAACAGCGTCTCCCTCTTCTCCAGTGGGATTATGCAGACGTGACTGAATGAGACTCTGTGGGATCAGTACTCGACATATTCACAAGCAGGCTCCAGAGACAGAGACTCCTTTTGCTAATTTCAGTCAGAAGCCAAGGACTCCAAAAGAAAAAAAAAGTGCAGATTTTTGTCACTTTCGATCACAAATGAAATCTAATAAGTCTAATAAATACTTTGGATCAACAATGTGTGATCTTAGTCTGGGCTCAATTGTTGAAATACATAGAGAGCTACAAGTCATTCACTCCAACCTCGACATATAATAAACCAGATCATCTGAAATAAAGATAGTTATCCATCAACATTAAGCACCAACAACAGCCATTAAAATGAGTGCAAAAAGTTACAAAAATAATTGTGATTTTAGAGTGCCAGATTTTGTGCAGCTAAATTATGATTGGATACTGAAGGCTGATAAAATATGGTTACTCAGTACAACAATAACCTGGCATTAAATTACCTCTAACAGAGGTAGTCTCATTGTAACTAAAAAAGGAGGCGATACGAAGAGCTTTGATCCCATTCTGTTACATAAAAAGTGCTTTGTTCAGTTTGTTCTCAACCTTGGCTCTCAGTGATTAGCTCCCATTGATCCAAATGGCTCTGTGACCCAATAGCATAAAATGTGTTTGGAGGCCTGGTGTGTGACAAAGTACAATACTGAGCCTAAATTAGGTTTCCCACCAGCAGCCAATTTAACGCTCGGAAATTACTTACAGGAGATGTTTTTGAGGGACACGGCCTGGCTCGACCAGGCCAATCTGTCATAAAAGCATTATGGGTTTTTTTCTATGGTTTGTAATGACCTACACATTGCCTCATACCAGGCCTGCTCAAAGCGGCGTTGCGCAAAGCTGGTTTTGTAGTAGACCCTTTGGCAAAACTGTACTCACAAATAAAGCAGCTCAGGAGAGCAGTGTCACTACGGAGATTTAGACGGCTGCAAACATTTGGGTGAATTTCATTGAGCCCATCTGGCCTGTTTGAAAGTGTTGCTGAGTCTAAGAGAGGCAGTCAGGCGGTATAATAGAGAGCGTGATGGATGCAGGGGGAGGGGAGAAGATGAGAGTGCAGATTTGGGGAGGGATAGGAGCTCTTTTCCGGCAGAGTTGAATCTCAGGCTTGGCTGCGGCACAGTGCTCTGCCTGTTTTCATACGAAGCACTCGGCTCTGGCTCCTAACCAGCATCGACCAGCGAAATGCTTCTGAACCCCGCATCCCACCCGCACACTCTCTTTCTCTCCCTGACATTTTGGGTCCCCCCTCTCTTCCCCCTCTTCATCTTTCTGACTCTCATTCCCAACTTCCTTCCTTTCACCTTTCACTCGTTCTTTTAGATTTTTCTTACCTTCACTCTCTTTTTATTCCCCCCCAGTTTGAACCCCCCCAAGCCTTCCGGTAGCACAGAGAGGTGTGGGTCAGGGCCAGAGCCTCCAGGTTTCTATAGTGATACTTTGTATCCTGATGTCATTAGTATTGACGGTGTGCAGCTAGGCCAAGCTGTCCTGGCACAGGGGCTGTTTACTGTTTACCTCAAACTTAAACCATTCACTGTGAGATTTTTGTGTGTGTGGGTGTGTGTGTGTGTGTGTGTGACATCAGAATTCAGTCTGTCTAATTGTTCTATTTCACATTCAGATAGGGAGGGATAACGATGACTAGGCAACAGGTAGAAAAACAAAAGTTGTTAATTTGTGATTTGTCTGATGAAAAAGCTCTCGGTGTGAAGCGCCGTGGTGCGGTTCCAGGAGCTGGAATTGCACCAGGGAGAAGCTTGGCAAGATGGAAATGGCTGTTTCATGAAGAAACATCCCCTCTGTCTGCTTGCTCACTGTATGATTACTGAAGCGCGTCTGTAGAGCACAACTCCCAGCACGACTCGCTCCTCGTTTTTTTCTGGCTGCTTCACTGCCCTCGTCCGTCTGAGATGGGCGCCTCCTTAGCGCCACTCCCCTCGGAAATGTACATGTGTTCATCTGCTCGCTCTTGTGCCCACGTGTACGACGTCATACGTCTGCTCCCACATCTCCACTTCCCATAGATTACTGCAGGCCGTCATCTGGCAGGTTGTTGCCGGTGTAATTAGTTCTGCTCGGTGTCTTAGGCCAGGGGTGGACAAAATATGGATCCCCATATTGATGCTGTCACATCACATGCAGGGAGAGCACATCTACAATGCTCACTCAGGACACATGCACAGCTTGTTCCCGCATACATAAATAAAAAGCTTCCGCATCCTCCTCTGGTGGTCCTTCATGTATGATATAATAGCTAAAGATTGTCTTGGGATGCAGAAAAAACTGTTGATGCATTGATTGAAATGTGAACTGAGCCTTGTCCTTACACACACACACACACACAGAATGGTTTATTTTTGGGGACATTCCATGAGAGTCCAACCAAAAACCAGAAAGCAGATACAATATTACAGCTGATATTTGTTTATCTCAGATAAATCAGATACGTACAGTTGTAGCCCTTTAAGGTTTTAGAGAGAGGAGGGCAAAGACGTGTAACAAGGGTTCCCAAGCTCTTACTATTGCATATCCACACTGGCATCTGCCTCAAAAGCCCAGTGTTTTTGCAGTTCTATACGTTGCCTTGCCTTTGATTTGATTGATTTATTCCCTGGAGTTTTCCAAATATGCCTAAAATGTGATTTTAATCTAATCCCAACAAAGTCAGGAACCATGACAGCTTGTGAGTAGTTCTGTAAGTTTGACCGGCTGACAACTAGCTCCTGGCCAAGGTTAACACATGTTTTTCATGCGTCATACACAGAACGTTGATCATATTACCCAGGTTCAAACATGTAATATTCCATTTTGCCAGATGGTGGTGCTCTAAGATCATCACTTTTAAAGCTGAAGGGAGGTTCATGTCAGTACGCTCAATTTCATTTACTCTATGTGTATGTATCTATGTGTATGTAACGCATAGATACATAAAGGGGATTTACTTTATACTACACATCTGTATATTTCATAATGTAGATGGTATGAGATTAGATCCCATTAAGACTTTATAATGCATGTTATTTCAGTGTTTCATATTACCTGTGTATCATCTCACAGCACGATTAACACATAGGTGGATAGATCACTTTTGCAGTCTCCTCACACATGTCAGAAATGGCAAGTCCCTGAGGCTACTTTGCAACAGATATCCCTCATGCCAGATCAATACATTGAGCAATAAAAATGAAGCCCTGTTCAAATGAGAAACTGTCTGGGTGAGCTAAGTGACATGTCCCTATTAAAACAAGTTGCATGATTTTATCATCACAGTGGTAGAGTCTGATCCCACCTTAAGCTCTTCTTCAAATGTGTGTGTGTGTGTGTGTGTGTGTTTAGTTGAATAGCGTGGATGGACAGCTTGCCACCCAACAGTCTATCTGTGATCCATGCTGGCAGCTGCTCTGCAAAATGGGATTTTCCTGGAGATTACAGCCTTTAAGTGTGACACGCTTGCAAGTGTTTGTCTTTGTTGTTGACGGAGTGCGTGTGAGGACTATTGTAATAAAGCTGTGTGTGCTTGTGTTTAAGTGTGTTTGTCTTGAGCCGAGGTGCCCAGAGAGCATGTTCGGTTGGAACATGACTGAACTCCCTCTGGCACGCTGTACGCAGGAAAAGGGAGTGGACATGTTCAGAAGTGTGGTCAGATCCACACTGCTGCTGTTCTCATTAGCACCATCAACCCTCGTTGAATAGATCTATCTTGTGGATATAGCTAGAGTCTATGGATGGTGGAGGACAAGATGATTTTACTGTTCAATATATACATTTTGTATTGAATTGCATTTGAAAGCCATGGTCATGGTTCATGACCAAAATACCTGCAAATCTAATGACATGTCCATCAGCCTCATCTGTGCTTTGTGTGCTAATTAGTAAATGTTAGCATGCTGACATGATATCTGTAAAAACATCAGCATGTCATAATTTCATTGTGAGCATGTTGGCGTTAGCATTTAGCTCCAAGTGCACAAAATCTGCAGTCTCCATGGATTTTATCATTTTAATTCAGTCTAGAGTCATATAATATGTAGCTAATACGAAATATTTAAAGGGAAAATTAATAAAAATCCTTAAAATTTCCACTGTGCTTTTACAATCATTTCTGACAGTATATACAAATAAAGACAATGTCGTGTCTCACCAAGCATCATGTTTGAATTGATAACGTGACTTTTGGAATTGGTCCACTTCCTGACACTGATAGAAACATTAAATGAGTTTTTGTTTGAGATAAGACAATTAAATTAGTTTTATTTAAATGTAGGGCTTATAGATATGGACTGTAAAAGCTGCTATGGATGCTTATGGGTGCTGTTATCATAAGAGTTTTCCCATTATTTTATTCAATCTTTCTGCAGTCTATGAAGCAGTTAAGACTGAGCTATGCTATATTGTAAATTATTAGTAACATTTGTTGGGGTGGATTTTCCCTTTAACCCATTTTCTGTTTGCCTCAGCGTCTGCTCTGTGAAGAGCTGTCCGCGGTCCTGAACATAAGCTGTGCACGGATCCCTGGTCATGTATGGGGAGGTGGCTTTGTAGTCGCTCACTAACCTGCTTAACCTACTTTCTTCCTCCTGGTCTTTCGTCTGTCCACAGAGAGGAAAGTGCTGTAGGACAAATACGGCATACTTCACAACACACACAGTGTCCGTCCAAGCTTTCCAAGCAGCACGGACGGTACCATGCTTTGTTGTATTTCAGTATCCTTACCCTTAATGCATCGCTGATCATTTCGCCAATGAAATCCAGCTTCACTCCGAACATGAGCTCCTCATGTTCGGCCCATTAACCCAACTGGTAGAAAACGTGTCGGGACGCGCTTGAACCTTCATTGAGATGAATATGACCAAAATAATGACATTTTAAGATCTTAATTGTCCAATTATGTTGACAGCTGTTGTGCTGCATTGCAATGCCAGTTCAATTGCAGTTTCCTAGCAACCAGAGAGGTACAATGCAATGCTTTTCTGCTAAGTGGCATCATTTCCTCTCAGCGAGATGAGACTGTATATTCACAAAACAAATCTAAATCCGCCATGTGTGCATGCTTCTTCACCTTTTATGCTAATATTTCCGACGCTTTATTGCTAACACTGTAATACAGCAGAAACAATCGCAAGTGTGTGTGGTTCGTGATAGGGCGCCCGCTTATATAGACATCCATATGTGTCGTTGGTATACCCTCGAGGTGTGTCAGTGCCTAATAAAATAGCCGTGTTTCTGCAAACAAAATCATTTCAGTTGATTAATGTTCATCCAAGATGCTCCGTCCTGAGCTAATCATTGTACATGCATTCTTTTCAATTAATTAATTATCAAGGGAGGTAGAGAGAGGGGGAAGGCTGGGGGAGGGGAAAGGAGAGTCAGGGGGAAACAGAAAATCCAATCCTGCTGGTCTGACGTCTCCGAGCAATGGAGCATTAGTCTCATCCTGATGTAATCGGAATGACAATAAGAGTAAAGCCCGCTGATTTCGGGACAGCCTCTAGGCTTGATTTAATGCCCCCTTCCAAAACTATACAGCCATCTTTTTATCTTTCTCTCCTTACCCTCTCGCAGGCCCCTCCGCTCTCTTCTGTGTTCCTCCCCCACCCCCGCGCTCCGCATTCACCAGCCACTGCCATGCATCTCCATCTGTACTCTATTAACAGAACAGTAGCTGCATTTTACAATATTTCAAGCCAGAAGGTTATAAACTCTCACAGAGTGTGTATTTCTTAAGCATTTTACTTACTCCGTATGGCATTCACACACTTCAATGGATGTGTTTTACTCTCACAGAGGTTATGTTTTATTACTGAATTAATATCTCCAGAGAGGAGAGTGCAAAAGAAAGGGCAGACTAAGCAGGTGTATCCAGGCCAGGGTGCTGCATCCCCGGGGTTTGCTGCTGCTCAGTCCCCTGACAGATGGACGGCCAGGGCAATCCTATTACCCCCATGTGTTTAGCTCCTCTTAATGCCAGGGTGGGTTGCATGGCTAATGGAATGAGAATCTCATTCTGCTGAATGATCCCCATTTTTTTTAATAACTGAGGAGATCTAAAAGCTGTGGTCAGGCAGTGAAAATTACAACCATGATGACTTTTGTAGCTCAGCCAGCTTGTCTCACTGAGGGATGTAATATTAAGTCAGCTCAGCCACTAATTAGGCTTTACTGTTGATATTTCACATGGGGATTTCATCCGTCCTTGTCCAGCAAAGATGAAGAAAGTGACTTTTTAAAAGTCACTAGCTTCAACAATCTGGACTCAAATTGAGTTGAAATACCTTTTTCATAAAACGTATTATATCACAGCACAGTATCACACAACTCACATGCCATACTGTGGCATTTATGAGTACCCTGACCTGTCCTGAAGATAGTAATATATGTCATTGCCAGACTGAGACATTTAGTGACTTACAATAAACCTGGAAATAAAGGGAGCTAAAGACAGCTTTCGATTGAATCTGAAGACAAATAGCGGGAATGCTTTATTTATGACAGTATGGATTATTTAGCCATGCAAGCAGCTCTATGAATGGCAATATTGGTTGGTTCGTCGATCCACCACTTTTGAATGGATTGGCATGAGATTGTGCACAAACATTCTTGGTCCCCAGAGGATACTGACTTGTTTAAAGTTTATGACCAAATACCTACTAATGTACTCTGTTGTTTAGTGCTAATAATATAAGATTACATTTCCACATACCCCTAGTCCTACCCATAGACACTGTCAAACATGCTACAGAAGACGTACCATATATGTTTATGGTCTATTTGTTTCTGGAAAACAATTGAAAATCAAAACATTACAAAACATATCTTTTTGGGCAAATTTAGTAGAATCTCTCGTGTTCAATGGTATCTGATAAAATATCAGGGTCTGATTTGCGTAACAAATGTGATTATTTAACTGTTTAACTGTTCCATTAGTTATACCATATGCATCTCAAAATATGATTAAGTATATGGCTCTTAAATAGATATTGTATTGATTTATCTTTATCTCATATTTGTTGGATTAACTGGAGGAAAATAATCAATATTTTAACCTATTTAAACCAGACATTTTCCCGCGGTCAATACAGCCAATGACTGCAATCTCGAACTATAATGGAAATGCAGTGAAGGTGGAGTACAACATGTGCTGTGTGGTCAAATATCTATACCCATGTGTACATGTGTGTGCGTGTATGCTGCTTGGTATGCAGACAGCGTCTTTGCTGCCTGTAGCCCCACAACGGCATCCCCAGGTCAAGCAATTACCACACATCAAGCAAAGCAATTGGGCATGACTAAAATATCATTGCCATGTGATCGTGTCCCTATGTTTGGGCTGCTAGAGACTAATGTAACCCACTTTGTCCATACGATCGAGGAGAATTGAGGACACGCTCTCCAATTCCGGTGGCCCCCCGAGCATTTACTGCAAGCCCGACACTCAGCAGCTGGGCTGTAGACGCGCCGTGACTGGTCTCCTACCCAGCGGAGTGAGAGACGGGGTGTAATGAGCAAGAGAAGTGAGGTAGTAGAGGAGTACAAGTGGCAGGAGGAAGAGGAAGGGAGCATTAAATGAGCCATAGGTTGCAGAAACTTGAGGCATTTCGAGTGAGGGATCTCAGACTATGCCTGTATCGACTCACTTGCAAGGTCACGTGGATCGATTTGAGAGTGAGTGGTTTTCCGGTCACGGTTGTTTCTCCGAGATGCTTTCCATAGGTACAGTATATGAGCCAGGGTGGTCACATTTGGACTTGGCAGGAAAGAGGGGGGGAGAGAAGTGGAAGGGGTTAAGGGGAGAGGAGATTGGCATATATGCACAGGGAATGGGACAGAGGCAGTGAGGGAGACGGCGATTGATCCCAGGCTCTAGCTCCGAGCAGCATTTGCCACTTATTCCCTCATTATACAGTCAAATATCTCGGTGCCTTTAGCTGCCGCCCCGGCTCTTCATCTCTCTGTCTCTCCGCCTCATATTTCCCCCCACGCCTCCCAACAAAATCTGACGAATCTGAGCCTTTCATCCATGCGACTTCATTCTACTAGATCCATTGTTTTCACTGATTTCATTTAAATTTCATCCGGTCTTGCTGCTCAGCTGAAACTTAGTCTTTTGCGGAAGAGGAACGCTCTGTGCTTCTTTTGTCCTTGTAAAGCCTGTTTAAATATTGATAGAGATGTGAAGCACCACTGACCACTCGGTCAGATCTGAGAGGGTCAAGGATGGCAGAGTTTCCCTGTAGATTTCATTAAGGGGGCAGAGGACTGTAAATATGGAAGCATGTGAATCACAGGCCCTCGCAGACGCTCGAGCAACCTTCATTATCCCACTGCATGGATACCGCACTGTAATGTATTCCGATGGAGATGGAGGTTGGGGGGTGATGGGGTGTAAAATAGCATGTGTAGGAAGGCCCTGTTTTTCAGCTACGAGCAGCCTGCCGCCCTCACAGCCAGATACCCATTAGTGCAGGAGCAGAGGATTGGATGTGAAAATGGTCCCATGGATTAGAGAGCTAATGCATTTAGGAGAGGGGGCTTCACAATCTCTTTATTGCCGCTGCTGTGTGCGTGTGTGTGTGTGTGTGTGTGTATGTGTGTGTCTGTGTGTTGAGGCTCGTGCAGGGGAGATACCCTGTCCCTTTGTGGACCCTGAGAGATTTAGGGTAAAGTGAGTAGATAAGGGCAGGGATGCACTGCGCGCACAGCCACACAGATGCAACGCACACACACACACACACACACACACACACACACATACACACACTCGTCAAAGCTTACGGCTTGACCAGAAGAAGGCTTGTTGTGTGTGCTGTTAATAAAACTCAGCATGGAAATGAGATCTTTCCAGTAAGAGGCGCAGACGGCGGCCCTGCTAATCTAATTAATCAGCGTCTGGGATTTCTCATTTTCTTCTGCCCTCGTTTCTGTCCCTCGTTGTTGCTCACCAGGCTTCTCCCTTACACAACTCATCCTCTTCGCCTCTCTCCTTTGTGTCCCTCTCTGCCCGGATTTCTCTGAATCCGAACTTCACGCCCCAATCTCAAGCGTTGGGGCAGAAATGTGCCACATCATGCGCTTCCTAAAACCCATCTTATAAAGCCTCTGATGTCCTCTCTCTACCCGTTAGCGGCTGCTCTTTGGGAGGCACATAGAAAGTATGGGCCCAGTGCTCAATCTGCTGGCTGCGAGGATGTATGGATGCCTCTGCAGCAGGATGGAGGGATGGTGATCTACCGGGCTTAAGGGGCAACCTGCTACCAGACCAGAAGGAAGCTGTCGGCTTTACAAGCACCAAACCTTTTAGGTGGTAATCAAGCTGTGAGCGAGCAGAACATGAACTCTTCCTCTGTGTTTGTGGTTCGAGAGAGCGTCACATTTGCTGCTTGTGCTTTTTAAAGAGCCAGCCGCCAGGCAGCATGGGAGGGGCCCTCAATCGCTGAAGCACAGCAGCAGAAGCAGCACAGTGGGTAACTACAGTACAGCTCTCTGCTCTGCGCACTGTGAGTCAGCTGAGCTGCCGGGATCACAACCGCCGATGAATGAATGACTGGGGAAGAGAGAGAGAGAGAGAGGAGACCCTGCAGTGTTTGGATACTGGAGAAGGCGAACAGTGCTACACTCTGGGGACGATGTGCGGAGCTGAGAGGCTGACATGGAAATAGTGAAGTGATCGGAGCAAGCTTGTTGACGCATAATCCCGCCCGCCCCGCTGGCGCTGGGAGGGGGCAAACCCTTCCTAAACTCAAATCCTCCACAAGAGATTTACGAAGTGCGCTGCTGCTGCGGGTTCAGCCACCATCAGGACATTTCTTTTTTTCTCTTTGACCATGTTGTGTAGTGAAAATCAGCATAGTTTTAATATTTTGGGGAGATGGATATGTCTCTGAAGCAGGGGACCTAATGCGCTATCGTTATTAGAGTATTAAATCCACTGCTGGAATCGGCACTGTCACTGCGCCGCGGACGGTGGGCGGTTGGATGCGCCCTGAGTTGTGCACAGGACCTGCCCGTACATCATCATCATCATCATCACCATCACAGGTATTTGATCGTGACTGTGTTGATTACACCGGAGATCTGGAGCCATGACAGGCCCCCCGCTGGTCCGACAGCCCGCCTGCTGACGGTACCGGGCAGGATGGGATCAGGTCTGCCGCTTTCAGGATCCCGAACGAGCCGATTTATCAATGGAGGAGGAGAGTGACACCCGGAAAATCAACAACAGCTTCCTTCGCGACCACAACTATGCAACCGAAGGTATTTAAACAGATGATGTTGGGAGTTGGGACTCATTTTAAGCTCTTTTACCGCCACATAAAATAACCCGAGGCTGCAGCTAGAAGGATGCTAATATCACAGCAAAAATAAGTCACTGCAAAGGAAGATTAAAGGAATCAGAAAAAAAATACTATTGGGCAAATATCACGTAGGCCTATATGTTTTGGGTAATAAAATAAATATATTATATTAGGCGTTATAGCGACGCTGTTTGGCCCATAATGTGCGTAAATGCGCATTTAATCACCTCAGATACAATGTAATCTGCTATCAGGGTATTAAAGGAATATTTCGGTCATGGGTCATCAACATGGAGCTTGTAACATAGCGTGTGGTGTCAATAGCAGGAGATGATGAGGTGGCTTCTCGTCACGCCTGCTATTTTGGGATGACCATCCTGACCGAGGGGAATCAGGGCTTTAATCTGTGTGGACTATGAGCAGCAATGGAATAAAGCCTCCTGTACTTCGGCATCTGCGGGCTATGTAGTATGTGATCAGTTCAAAATGATGCAATATTGATGAAAGAAACGTGTTTTCCTCAATCTGTGTTCACTTGTTGAAATAATTAGAAAGAGAAGGTGTCCTAATTTCAAGAAGCAGTACAGTAAATTCTCTCTCTCTCTCTCTCTCTCACACACTTTTTTTTTTACATGCTTATAACTGGAGCTTTGAAAAATAGCTTTTTTTTCTGCACCACCACAGCTCTAAAATGTACGTGTGTATTTCCTCTTCATTGACCACACATCAGCCCCTTGATGAGCCTGTTAACTAATTGATGCAAAATAGTTCCCTTATGTCAGTTCCACCAATCAGCTCCACCTCTGCCCCACAAGCTGCTTAGATCACTGGTCAACATAAAACCAATATTTACCAACATAACACTGTCATACATCAATTATATTTGGGTCCCCATTCACTGATTACAATAACTTTATTTAATTATGCAGATTGGTTCTAAATGTTAACTGATGTGCTGATTAGAAATGCTGGTAATAAATTCAACTGAGTGAAAAACGGGCTTGCTTTACACAGGCCAAACATACTGGCATGTGGTACGTGGTACATTGCCTCTAAATGACACACCAATACTTATTTTGCCAGATTAATACAAGATTTCAATCAACTTCTGTCGTGTATATGTTGATGTCTGTTTTCTTTCCATTTAGTGGTCTTTATTGATCAGTTTAAAGCACAGTTTTAATCATTTTAAATAATAGTCTATGCAGCACTGGGGCAGCCATCTATTCTTTCATTTCAGCACCCAACCATAAGGTTTGAAAATCTGACAAAACAGAAACATATTTCTGTTTAAAATATGAAGGAGCAGCCCCTAATTAAACAACCAAATAGCACGTCTTCACAAATTATCTAAGTATTTTGATAGAATAGATTAAATAGAGGGGTGTGGAGGGTATACAGAATGGCTGCGGGGGGGGGGGCTCAGGTTACTGATGCCACTGCAGGTCAGGGGAGAGACAAAGTCGAAGCTCAGAAGACAGTGTCTTGTTCTCACATCCTGCTGCTGTCCTCAGTGTTTTTTTCCCTCTTAATTTAAATATGGGAGAGCATCATCATTTGCTCCGCTCCTGCTCTTACAGATGATTCCCTGTCACTGCTAAACACACTGTCACCGGTTCAGAGCGAGAAGAAGTGAAGTGGGGGGTAGGTTTGGGTGTGATGGATAGCTTTGTTTGATGTGGGCGCTGAGATGAAAAACAGGAGGGGATCTTCCTCTTCCAGCTTCTTCCTGTCTCTCTGCTTCACTCTTCCATTCATGTGAGCAGGAGAAAGTGTCTGAGAGTTGCCCAGGGTGTAAAATGTGTCCCCTAAAAGCAGAGGACTGTCTGGTCTGCGACCCATCTGTGCTTTTCAAACAAGGAACGTCTACTTTTGTTATTTTTTATTGCTGTAATTTACGACTGACCGTCACACCTCATATACCATGAATGAGTGTGTGTGTGTGTGTGTGTGTGTGTGTGTGTGTGTGTGTGTGTGTGTGTGTGTGTGCGTGCCCATTCACACGCTCGCATCCCTGTCTCCTAAAATGAAGTCAGTCTGAAGCCAAAGATCATACATCCCAGTGTCTGGGTCCTCATAAATTCACCAAAGTGCACATGCTCCATCAGGCCCGGTCCGTTCAGACCACACACAAACACACAGTCTCACATACATACACAGGTCCCAGTGACGGCGGGCTGGTATGGGATTTCCCTCAGGCCGTGCTTGCCCACAGCAGCAGGACACTTTAATGATGTCACATTTTAATGATGTCACTCGCGCTGACCTTTGGTTTGCACCAATCCCACGCCTCAGTGGGTCTGTGGGCGGCTACATTGAGTTGATGTGTATGTGCGCACACTGTGAGGAAAGCTGTGCTGGTCCTCCATAGTTGGAAATAATTTTTAAAAAGTCTTCTCAACCTTAATGCAAAAAATTTCCAGATTCATCGTTGTTGTCTAGATGAAAGAAAATGGCATTACAGTCTGATTTGCATTCGCCAGCAGCCTGCAGATGACACGTTGTTAATGGTGATAAAATGAATGGTGTGTGTATCACTGCAGCTGTGTATATCAGTGTGTGTTAAGTCAATGGACTGTTACGCTGCTACATGAGTTTCAGCTCATTTTCATAATCTGCACCTTGGATGTTCCTTTAATGGATGAAATTGTCACATAGCACAACACCACTTGGGGTGTAGAAATGTAAATGGCTTCCTCGCTGTGAGGCAGCGCCCTAACCTAATGTCTGCTTTGGTATTGATTTCTGGTCCTTTACAATTTAGCTACCGGAACAATGACCTAAAGATCTATTGGTAGGACATGTAATCCCTTCCACCTTCTCTCCCCCTTCCCCCTCGTTTCTCTCATTTTCCCTGACTGTTTATGTGTTTGTCTGATGCGAGTACAAGCTTGTGTGTGATGTGACCCCTCTAGACCCGCCGAATACTGATGCAGTCCCGCAACATAGAGCGCACAGCCTTTACTGCAGCTGCTGATGAGAGCAGAGCACCGCCTACGGTTGCCTGTGCCAAGGCAAACGGCCTGGGGCCACACTTTAGGACCCCGGCATAAAAAGATTTAGCCCAGCATACCCCCAGGTCCCATCCATTATTCACTGCGAAACACTCAAAACGCCCGAACCCCGCCTCGGCACATAGCGCAAGAAAGATAATGTCCTTGTGTGTGTATGGGGGTTTGTGTGGGGGCAGGGGGGGGCGGGCGGGTGCTTAATGGCAAGCTGTGAAGTTGGGGCGAGTCACACTCCTTATTCAGCAGCTGCTTTCATCCCCCTGATTAGCTTCTTATTAAGTCTGCAGCTCGATGAAAATTTAATGAGAATTTGTTCAAGAATACCCGCGGTGTTGCTACTGTAGGACGATTACAAAAAAATATCCTATTTCTCAACTATGAGAGATGTACTGTACGTGAGTCATTCGGCGCAGTGCTAGCCTGGAGGGTAAAGCACTGTTTGACCTTTCTGGACTATGTTTTGCTAGCTAATTCCTGTGTCTTGTCGAGGAAGCAGCGTCACTCGGACCCTTTCATGCTTAGGTGATAAGGTCACTGTTCAGCAGCCATCTAATGTTTGATTCCCTCCAGCCTTGACAACAGGAAGATGAAAGGGATCACACCAAAGCAACGCAGACAGATAGAGAGGGAAGAGACAGTTTTTGTTTTGGTATTATAATTCTATGCACCCCCACTTCCCCACCATCCCCCTCCTGCATCTTCAATTTCTAAGAGAATACCAAATAACAAGCATTTCAAACGATCTCGCTTGGTATTCATGTAAGCGCATGCAGGAATCGATCGCCGAGTTCACCGCTTTCCCCCACTTCTTCTCGTTTCGCCCTGTCCCGTGTCCGTAGTCAGATGTGTGCCACGCCGACGTGTTAATGAAGTGTGAGAATTGAAGCAGTAACACGTCTCGCCCATTTCATGCTCAACTCCCTGGAGTGTGGGGATACAGAAAAGCAAGCACACACGTGCACACACAAAGGAAAGACTATATATATATATATACACACACACACACACACACACACATTCTATCTCATTCTCAAGGGGCTGATCCTGGAGAAATCAGGTTAATTAGCTTGTTCACTCCAGATCTTACAAAGAGTCATGCTCTTCAGATGAAGAGAGCTGCATTGTGCTCTGTTGCTTTGTGTGCAGCTATTAAAGCCTAATAAACCCTTAATCATATGGCCGGGCACCGGACCAGTAGGTAACAGGGTTTATTCAAAATTTCGATTGATATACGTTGTTTGTGGTGTGAAAGAAGCCGTTACCAGTCGCCTATTCGAAATGGTGAATCGAATTTGTTATACGTGTGTGTTCATGGTTCTGAAAAAAAGACAAAGTGCAGATTGATTCATATTGGAGGGACAAGAGCGGCGAGTGAAAGAGAGTGCGAGAACGGACCTGAATTATCCCCCGGCCTGATCCTTTGACGCAGGCAGCTCAGCACAAGTGCTGTAATCCTCTCCTCTCCTCTCCACGTCTACCGCTAACAAAGCATTTACACGACACCATGTTGCTCACGTCCCTCCCTTAACCTGGAATTATTGCACACCACTGACGCAACTAGCTTTCCATGCAGTCACACCATTTTGAGTGTGACTGTCTTACACAACCCTCCAATGCCACAGGATCAAGCCCTCGGTTTGTTTATTTGTTTTTTTTCCAGCCCTGACAGGATTCCATGTTGTCTAGAGGTTAGCCAGGGTGCTCCTATTTTGGTCTTTGCTGTAGTCTGTACTGATGAGACACACTGTACGATCTTTTATCGACCTACTTACCTCCCCAGACTTCCCCCCTCTTTTCTTTTAGTGGCCCTCTCTGTTATGCGTGATAGATGTTGCATGCACGGGCGTCTATAAATACATTCAATATCCCTGCTCCCCGCCCTGCGTTTCTGGCTCCTCGTGCACGCTTTTCATTCCAGAATCAATGCATATCTATGTTTCCATCCAACGGGTTTGAATCTCGATTCTATATTGCATGCCGAAGGGGAGTTATTGAGGGTCAGATCGGTGGACAGAAACAGATAGGAGCCTGTGTTATTTCAGTCGTATACACAGTTGCACACACACACACACACACACACACACACACACACACACACACACAC